TTTTTTTTTTTTTTGATAGAACATTTACACTTAAATAGAATTTATGCAATTTATTGCTTTATTTTTGCTTTTTATTCTTTTCTAATCAAAGAAAAACGGATTAGAAGGTGGAATAATTGGGTGAGGATGGAAAGTTTTATTGGTAGACCTACCTAGGTGGCTGAGAAAGATGACCGAACAGCTGTGGTTGACTGAGTAGGTGACTGGTGATGAGATAATCCCGTTTGAAGAACATATTGGTTTTTGTCTATTAAAGGCATATCTACAGAAACAATTTTTTTTTTATCAAGATTGCTTTAGTTAATTTGGCTGAAGAGGATTTTCCTTTGCTGATAAAGTTCACTTAGTTACTGTTTAATTTAGTATCGGCTTTAATTATTACATGGTTTTATACAGAGATAAAATTAATGAACTAAACTTTGAAATAACCACAACATAGAAGCAGTTCAGAAAACGTTTATGTCTGGTTGCTGGTCAGTCTATACAAAGGCGTATTCGCTCTTAAAGGGTATCTTTGGATGAGTTGATGACATCTGAATCGTTAGTATGAAACAATATGATACACATTTGGAACCTTGGTTGCGGTCTACACAACTCACTTATTAAATAAAATAACTAATGATTAAGTTTTCTCTTGTTTTGTTTTTTTTTTAAAATGCTGCTTAAAAGATTATTGGAATTGATTGCTTTGATATGGTCTAGAAATTTTTGCTTAAAAATATCAATCGTCTACCAGCTTTGTTTACCACAAAAAAAAAAAAAAAAAAAGTTTATGTTCTTTCAGTTGGGTTCTGCAAATTTCATTCAGCACTGAAAACAAGTGCACATTTTTTCTAACAAGTTTAACCATATCAATTAACTAATTAGTAAAGTTGAAATCACTATTGTTATTGTCAATAGAAATGGAAAAAAAATTTGCTTATTTTATTAGGCATTTATTTTTTCTTTCTGTTTTTTTTCATTACAAAGCTGAGTCTCTTTTTGTGTGTATTTAATGGTGGAAGGTAAGTGCTACCTTAAATTCGAAGTTGTTAGCTCTTTTTTTTTTGCATCTTCGACTTGTCTTTTCTGACGACTTTTTTGATATACTTCTTTGGGTTTTTTTATCTGTTTTTTGTTTTTTTTATATTTTATTGTCCCTCATTTTGTTATTTTTTTAAGAGAGGAAACGTTTTTTTTTGAAGCAGCAAGAATGTGCTTTAGTTTATAAAAAGGGCTAACGCAAGAAAAGGAAAAAAAAAACCTGTATAACGTTTTACAAATTGTTTTATAAGTGGGAAAAAAAAGGTTCTTATTCTTAAAAAAAAACTATTTTTTTTTTCTCAATTCGTTTTATAAAATTTATGGCAATTTCTGAAGTTTTTGATTTTACGTTTGCTGGATGAAAGCAATTGAAGAAAAAAAAAAATGGATTTTTTAAAAGGCAAATTTTATTTTGATTATCATTTTTGATACATTTTCATTTATTTATTTATTTATTTATTTATTTCTTTTTTTTTGAGAATGTTTGCTTGAAAATGCGTAAAAGGAGTGTAAGAAGTGGAAAAAAAAAAACGCCACACACTGTGAAAAATGTTTGGTTTTTTGAAATTAGCATATTAAATTTGATTTGCCGATACTGTTACTGTTACTATTTATGCGATGCTTTTTACGTTGTCGGAAAAGTTTTTTTTTTAACTGTTTTTTTTTTCGTTTCCTGGTAGATGACAACGTCAGTAAAAGCCGCAAGGATGTGTAGCTGTGGAAAGTAGGCAAATTTTTTTTTAGTGATTTTGCATTTATTTTTAAATCTTGCAAATTTGGCAGTAAATATTACTTTCAATTTACATAAACCAGGCTAACCTGGTTACATCATCTCTGCTGGTCTATTCGGTAGGAGTTGTAGACTTTAGGGTGAAAGCAGTAGCAAATAGATTGGGGTTGTTTAGATGAAAGATTTGCTAAAGCGTTCAACCACCATTCAAAAACATCCAATTGATATCGGTCGTTTAATGTTTTCGATTTTTCTTCTTATCTCAAAACTTATTCATTTGTAAGCCAGAAAGGTTGATTGTTGAAGGCAGATTGCCGTTGAATGTTGGGGCAATATTAGTTGTTAATACACCACATTAAAAGCTGCATCTAACAACAAGAAAACAAAAAAAAAAAAATTAAAATTAAAAGAGAAGCAAGAAGAACAATTTGAACAGCTTTGAAAAACAGTTATCAATTTAGTACGAATAGAAAGGCAGATGCAGAACAAAAAAACTGTGAAGAGGAAAAAATAGTCTCTGGGAAGAAAAATAAGATTTTTTTTTTTCTGCGAAACATTTGAGTTGAATGTTTAACAGAAATATTGAATAACTGTAAAAAAAAAAACTTATACTGTTTTTTCTTCTTTTTCTGCTCGTCTTCTTTTTCTTTGACATCATTTTTTTTTTTGAAAGCTGATTGTATAGAGAATTGAGAAACAGAAAAGATGAGCGTAAGTTTAAAAAAAAAAAAAATGAGAAGATTGCGAAGAAAAAGAAACCAAAATAATAGCAAACACTAACAGCAGGAAAGTCTTGTTAGTTATTTTAAGACAAAGTTGTTAAGTCGGATTTTATGTTCTGAAAAAAGTATCTTTTATCTATTAACGTGTGATTGAGAAAGAGGAGTACTGAGAGAAATTTTTACTGTAAAAAGAGGGAAGTGGAAGAGGTCAGAAATAGGTTTAATGAAAATTTGTTGCTTTTTTCTTATCTTTCCTATCTATTTTTTTTTTT